AGATTTACAGTTAAGTCAATCTACAAAGCTTTAACAAGAGAAGAAAAGGGCTCAGAATCTCGGACCAGATAAAAGGAATTTGGGGTAACCCAGTTCCCCCAAGGGTAGAAGCTTTCGCATGGCTGGTAGCTCATGACAGCATCCTCACCTCTGCTCACCTGAAATCTAGAGGTTTACATCTTGCCAACTGGTGTTATATCTGTAACCAGAGGAAGAAACAGTCTTCCATTTGTTCTTTTCATGCAGTACAGCAAGTTCCATATGGAAGTTCTTCTCTTTTCTATTTGGGGTGAGTGGATTTAATCCATCAACTTCAGCAGAAATTTTCTCTTTGTGGCCAAAACTCAGAGGCAGTAAGAGAGCTCAGATGATGTGGTGTTGTGTCCCTTTTGCAGTATGTTGGTCTATATGGAGGGAGAGAAATAGAAGAGTTTTTGAGAATAGATCAAACAACATTGAATACATGGTAGCTGCGGTGACAAATATGATTTCAGAATGGGTTCTCAAACTTCCAGATTTTGATCAAGTATCTAAGGCAGATTTGTTGGAAAATTTCTGGAATACCCTTGAATTACAGCCTTATAATGTAGAATCGTTTTCAATTTGAAGTTTTGAGAACATATGCAGCGTGTCGTCTAGACAACCAAGGATGCTAGGATGTAACTCTTTTTCCTTTTAATGAAATTTTTTTCTTGATTCTTCAAAAAAAACTAGTGATGCATTGACTTGAACACAATAGAAATAGAAGAATTACCCGAATATAAGCCCTTGCAAATGGATTTTTAAATTCTGAATCATCAAGCTTCCGAATCTGTATTACAGAATGAAACATCAGTTGTTTTTTATTGGTAGACAAGTTTTTGAATTTGAACACAATGCCAAATGCATTAAACCACAAAGATGCAAACAATAAAAATGATAGCTTACAGCATATTTCATGTCCTCATAATTTGTATAGTCTACTAGACCCATGGTTCCTGAAACAACACTCCGCACCTTAGTACAGTAAAAGTTTGCACAGAAACTATAGAAATCAAAACCAATAGCAAAATAAGCAATGTCTGAGACAACCAGAGCTAATGTTGAATCCAAAAGTTGACCTTTTGGGTTATAACTGAGATACATTGTACAGACTACAGAGAGATTATGGTTATAATCTAATGCAAATATATTGATCATGAAAGTTTTACAAGTGTTCAAGGTACAAAATCCTTCTGCCTAGTCATATTGCATTATTGCCTCCCATAAACTAGGTCAAATGAGTCTACTTGTAACCATCACACTAATGCCTCAGGAGCTTTTGGCACTTTTTTTTTTTCAATGTAGACCATGAACCATGCATTATTACCTTTTACAATAAAATAGAGCAATGTTTGATCCACTAGGCTTATATAACACACTTCAAGAGTATGTCATGGGGGTGATACATGCATGATATTGTTATCACAACGAACAGGATGATTTGTTATTACAAGAATTTGGCATCCAAAATTTAGCAATTGAAAGGTGTATGCATCCATTAAAGTATTTTCCTAGGAATTGAAGTTACCAGATCTCATAAAGGGATCTTCATTTTATATAGGAAATAAATCATCCTAGATCTCCTCAAAGGCACAAGGAAGTCAGGATCTCAACCATAACATATGGGGAAATAGTGTAGAAATGTTACTAGATGCAAGAGTCCCAAAGGTTAGAAGGATATTGCATTTCTCATTGGAATGTTTAGTTAGTTTATGCATTCTTCCATTCCCTAAGCATGGGTGTAGGTGTACATGAATATTGATTGGGCAAGATCAATTGATGACTGCAGATCTACTACAGGTTATTACGCCTTTGTCGGTAGAAATTTAGTGACTTGGAGAAGCAAGAAGAACATAGTTGCAAGATCTAGTGATAAGGTAGAATATCATGTCATGGCACATGGAATGGCTTAAGTACAGTGCTTAAATACTTTGATGGCTATAAGTTGGGATTTTCTATATCTGGTTCTATGTCTATTGCCCTTAGCATCGCCCACAACACAATCCAGCATGATAGGACTAAATGTATAGAGGTTAACAAGCTTAATTCATGAAATTTGAAAAGTTTGAAAAGGGCCTTCCTCTTGTAAGCTTTAAGAAGTTAGCTGACGTATTTACAAATTGACATGTTCATGGACTGGGCTCAGATTGAGATTTTGCCAAAATTTGAATGGGCCTGGCCCGAAACAGTGAAAAACGTTCATGGACTGAGCCCAAAGCCCAGCTCATGAACAGGTCTACTTAAAAAGTTTACTGATTAACTTGCACCATAATGAGTTCTGTAACAAATTGGATATGGTTGATCAAGGGAAGTATTGTAATATTCATTTTGACATGTGTGGCACAAGAGTATTTCTGTCTTTTTAATTTTAAACTTAATAAAACATTGGTTTGGGTGCTGTCACACACTTTTTTTAGCGAAGTGCTGCCACTTTTTTTATTTACAACTTGCTCTCTTCCTTTCTTCTCTTCCATCTATGACAAATAACACAAAGGAACTGAAAAACCTATAATACAGTTGCCAGCCCCAACCAGATACAACCAAGATTCAAAATTTTGACACATATTGGGGTGCATCGTCTCATATCAGCCCTCCTGATATGCTAAACATTAAATATTTTGAATTTATAATATTTTCAGGGGATAGGCCTTGCTAAGACCGGCCCCTGTGAAATTTTGAAAAGAAAAAGAACTAAAACAAAGGGAAGCATGTGGTTCAAACCCCTGATACGATGTATTGATGCTTTGAACCATGGATACAACAGAACTCAAGCCAGATCTTGAGACCCCAAGCCAGCAGCCCCCTATTCAAGTTCAGACCAGCCCACACCTCTAGCCAACAATTCAATTTATGCATTTGTTCATCTATACACCCATATAAATGAGGTGTCCAGGTTAGATGATAGAGTGCTTTTGCCTCTAATAAAGTATTAGAATTGCTAGGGATCTTCCTCCAAGATATCCACCCGATAACCATTGAATCTCCTGTGATTATAAAGCTCAAACCAAACAAAGGATGCCAGCCCTTTGAAGAGGAGCAATGGATTCATCAAAAGAAAAAAAAGAGGAGCAATGGTCTCATCCATCAAGGACCTTCTCACTATGCCAGAAAAGCTAAGCAGAATATATCCATCATAGTTCCTAAAGCCACCTCCACCACAGCGGATGGGTTAGCTAAGCAAGGGGTATCAAGGGAACATTTATTCTGGGCAGCTATGTAAACTTTCATTTCTTAGTCTGATGTAGTGCTTTGTTATTGTTGTGGAGAGGTACCAGCTTGTGCCTCTCCTTTGGGCAGGCTGTATTGTAATTTCATTTTGATTATCATGAATAAATTACCAATCATTTATCAAAAAAAAAGCCACCTCCACCCCCTGTATTGCCTAAGAAACAGTTTCCAAAGTTAAGTAGTAGTCCTTTGTTGGACCAAATTAGCTAGTAGTTGCCATCCATACAATATGGAATCTTTAGAAGTACCTTTCAACTCAATGGTATAGATGTTTGCAACAAGGCCAATTAAAATCTTTGAGGAGCTGATTGCTGAAAACTCTTGAAACTTCTATAAACACTATAGAACAGCCACTCCAGTGTGTCTTCGCATAATCAGATAATCCTCCCTATTTTAGTCATGGTTTAAAGTATCGATACGATACGCCCCGTATCGGGCATATCATATGGTACCTTTTGAAAAAGATACGGTCCGAAACGCCTGTTTCCAGATGTTTCGGAACCCCAATTTTTTTAATAATAAAAAACATGTTTTTAGCTTCCCAAAAAACCAAAATTTGAAAAAAAAAACTAAAAAAAAAGTCTTTCAGCCATTTCTAAGCACCAATACGATACAGCCGATATGCGTATCGTATCGATACTTTGAACCTTGATTTTAGTGGAAAGAGAGCGAGATAGGTTTGAATAAGGTGGCATTTGCTGTGTCTTTTCAACACGCCTTTTGGTCTGTGGAAAGCTCAAAGACTAAAAATGGTCTTTTCCATTTGGTATCATGTAGACTGAAAGACCCAAAGATGAGCATGCAGAAAGACCAAAATAGCCAAAATCGGGAAGCTTCAAATGAAGCTTTTGGTCTTTCCACACTGAAAATAGCATTCCCATCTGTTTTTAACAGCCCAGTAGACCATGACATGAACCATAGTCTTGATCTTTAAAGACAAGACCCCAAAGGTTAAGTCGTCTTCTTATCTATTGGGCTGTTGAAAGATCCACCTAGAAAGACTTGCCAAACAGCCCCAAGTCTTTGGCATCAAAGTGGGAAGACTAAGGAACTCCAAGTCCAAATGAAGGAAAAAGAGGTTCCATATAGCAAATATGTAAAGACACAGATGCACACACTAGGAGAGATGATGCAAGTTTTCCTTCTTCAGAACATGTTACCTATATTAACAAAACTGCAGAGCCACTTCCCAATACTTTTTAAATTAATCAGTTTTATAAAATATCAGTTGTTGGAGGATTAGCTTTATTTCTGTCTAGTGAGCTTATTGGGCCTATTATATGTTATTTGTGGCTGGGTTGTTTGGTTTCTTTTTTATTGTTTGCTATTATTTATAGTTTCTGTACAAGCAGGGGCATTCTCGTCATTTTACTGTTCGTGACAGATAGCTTTGTAAGTAATGTTAAGAGATCGAACCAAGATTAGTTCCTACTTATATGTTTTTATTGGGTTGTCGTATGTCTCAGTTTTTAGGCCATATGTTACTTATTTGTTACTGGGCCTTGGGTCTTACGTCTTTTATTTTATTGAGGTTCTGTCCCAACCAACTTATCAAGGGCAGAACTTTCATTATAATGTTTAGTTATAAGAAGTTATTATAAAAAATAGTGGGATCTCAAAACCAGTCCTACAATTGGGTGTTCTATTCTCCCATTCTCTCTCTTCTTTTTTAATCAACCAGTCTCTCTCTTCTCCTCTTCATCTGCCGTGTTGCCTTCTGTACTTGATCCCAACACTTTTTTTATCAGTAGAAAGTAATTTTATCAAGGCAAACTTAAAGGTTACAGGAGGGTGAGTGTAAAATCCACCCCAAACAACAAGAGATCACAGATTTTCCCAAAACAACTGCTGTAATCGCAAGTAGTAATATAGAGGTTGACGCCTCACACTTTTTGTTTCTTTCACTCTCCCTTCTTCTCTTTTGTCTTTTCTTCTCTCATCACTCTCCCTTCTTCTCTTTTCTTCTCCAAGTCCAAACAAGAAACATCACATAACAAAGGGAGTTGCTCCTACTACACAAATCATTCTTGTATACCATTTAGCAGAGATAAATAACATCCTATTGTACCACGAAAACTGCCTGTAATATGTATAACACTATTGGATAAGCATACCATCACCATCACGAAAAACTTGGGCAAAACAGACATCACCAGCCTTCCGCATATGATCCTGAATAAAACATATCATGAGCAGAGTTTTTATGGTTAGGCTTTGGAAACTCAAAAACTTGTGTGACCAGTGATTAAGTAATAACACCCCCAACCCACCTTTAAATCTTGCCATGAAGCAGAAGAAGGCAGTCCACGAACAACAACTACATAGTTAGAAACCAGAAAACCTTCAGCACCATCCAAGATAACCCATACTCTATAGCAAACCAGAACCAAGACATATAAAGGACAAAAGGTCAAGCAACAAGTCATATGTAAAGTGAGGAAAAATGAATGAACCTCGATATTCAGAGCGGCGTGAAACACTGCCAAAACGTCCACCACCTCCACCATGACCACCACGACGATCGGTTGAAGATGATCCCTTACCAACATGGGCAAGTTCAACCTGCAACAACAATAAAGCAAGAAATCTTATAAAAAAATGAAATGTCATGTAAACCTGTCTTTCCCATCTATGGATGAGCAATCTCAACTTTAACCCAGGAAGGGGATGGTCACCTTGGAATTGGTCTACATAAAAAGGCGAAAAAGAAAATCCTAGCAATATTTTTATTCTATTCACGTCTATATATATATATATATATATATATATATATATATATACTAAAGTAGAGCTTGCCATGTCAGCAGCCCTCTCCTTGCTTTGTTACCCAAACCGAGCAATTCTAGAGGGGGTGCAAGATTCCCTCTAGAAGCCCATGGAGTTGCCCCTCCCAAAACACTTAGCCAACCCCCTCCTAAAAATTCTCCTAAACTATCTCTCCAACCTAAAATTCCTCTAAAACAACTCTTAGTCTATATTACATACTCAATAAACCAACTAAAAACCCAAAAAACATGGTAAAACTAATTAGTTAAATTAATTTGTGAAATACTTTTTATATTCTCAATAATTATTGATATTATTGAATAAATGTTTTAAAAACAACCTGGAACCAGAACTGTTTTGGCCACCAGTTTCCGGGTCGACGGTTCGACCGTCCGTTCCGAACGGACGGCCTGTTCTGACAAAATAAATTAAAAAAATAAATAAAAATAATTAAAATTTAAAAACGGACAAAAAACATTGAATGGGTCGAGTGGGTCGACGGTTCGACCACTCGGGTTGATCGATTCAACAGTTTTTGGCCAGGGACCGGGTTTGGGGTAAAACGGAATCGGTTGCCTAGATGGTTCCCAGGCTGAACAATCCGACCGTTCGGGTCAACGACAGTTCGAAAACCATGTTAATCAATAATTATCAACACCTAAACTATACTGTTTTTGTAATTTTGGTAAATTGGAAATTTTAATTACTAAAAATTACATGCTGAAAATTACTGATTTTGGTAATTTAATTTCAGAAAGTTTTGAAAATTAATTATTGAAATCAATAATTACTGAAAATTTGATAATTAATTAAAATATTAATAAATACAAATTTATTAATTAAAATTATCGATCATTTTTCACTGAAAATTTTATTTCAATAAATATAAATTTATTTTTTACATTTTCAGTAATTTTTGTCAATTTATTAATATTTAATGATATTATCAGATAATAATTAAAATCACATTTTCTAATTAAAAGTTTACTTTCAGAAAGATATTTATTAAAATAAAGGAAAATTAATATGCAAATAATATTTTAAATATATTTTGATATATAATAAATATTATTATATATTTAATACAATATTTACACATCCATCCATCCACGTCACCATGCCTCTCCTTGCTCCAAACCCCCATGCTGCTCTCTCCTCAATTCTCTCTCCCTCTCCCTTCCCACCACGCCATCTCCTAACTAAGACACAACTCTCTCTCTCTTTCTCTCCCTCCCCACACACTATCAATCGGGTAAGGTTCGGTTTTCATTAATCCAACCCATTTACTTTGAATGGTATATTAAAAATTGTTTATAATTAATAATTTCATTTTATTTTGTTATATCTCATGCCAAAATTAATTAATTATTTTCGTGGTTAATTAAAAATTCCTAAATAATATTACTATTTCTAATAATTATTAATTTTTATTTTATTAATATTTTTAGGATTAATTACTAATATTTTCAACAATTTAGTAATAGTTTACCAACATTATTTAATTATTTTCAGGATTAATTACAAAATAGCAAAATTCACTTAAAATCTATTATTTATATCCATGATTTATTAAGAATTACCAAAATACATTACCTTTTTTAGTAATTAATATTAGTGATATACTACCAAAATTAATTAATTACCAATAATAATTAATTTTTTATTAATATTAAAATTTAAAAATAATTGTTTTCATGAATAATTAAATTAATTATTTTCATTACTATTTTAATTAATTAAAAATTCCCAAGATTCAATTAAAAATCTATTATTTTATATGTTCATCATTATTTCAGAATTACCAAAGTTTAATACCAAAATATATTACTGTTTTTAATAATTATAATGTTAGTGACATATTACCAAAAAAAAATTATTTTATTAAGATTAAATTTTAAAATTTAATAATTATTTACATGAATAATTAAATTAATTATTTTATTACTTTTTAATAATTCATAATATTAGTTTTATTAATTAATAATATTACCGAATATTACTATTAACAACAGTAATATTTTTTATAAAATAAGAAGTATAAGATTTATTAATTCATAATTAAGAATTATTAACAATAACTATAGATTTATTCATTTTTTAATATTAATTATAAAATTTAAAAGTCATTATTAACTATTTTTGTGAATAATTAAAAATACCTTAAAATATTATTTTTTAGTAATTAATAATATTGTAAATAACTATAAAATAAAATTAGTGCTATTAATTACTAGCGGAGACCCGTGGAGATGCATGAGTTTTGTTAAAAGAATTTGAAGCAAAAGGAGCTAGGGTTGTAGCTTGGGTTGGGTGGGCCTAACCCGAGCCCGACCCAGCTCAACCAAAGCTTTTGCACAAGTCGGGCTTACCAACTTAGCCTTAACCTGAGCTTTAACCCAACATCTTGGGTTGGCCTTAGGATTGGATGTGTTGAGCTTTGTGGCCCAGTTTCTAGGTAGAATATATTGATAATATGTAGATATGTATACCACAAAATGTTGGGTGGGCTCAAATTGATTGAATCAAGCTCGGACTACCCATGCCCTCAATCCAAGCTCAACCTGAATTTAGGTTAGACTTCAATTTTTTGGCCTAAGTCCAGCTTGAAGTTTGAAAACTCAAGCCCAACCTATGCAAGATCTTTGGTTGAGTTGGGTCAGGCTCGGGTTAGGCCTATTCAATCTGCACCTTAACTCCTTTTGCCTCAAGTTATTTTAACAAAGCCCGAGCATCGCATGGGTCCCCCACTAGTATATTTCTATTAGCCTAACACATAAATAGGCCCCTATCTAGTTAGGATCTTCGTTATTCCACCATCACACTATGCTCATTGTTCCCCTGCCCCTACAAGCTTGACTTTCTTTCTATACATCTCACTAAGCTCATTATGTGAATGAGGGCATCCAAAAGCATGAATCAACTTCAATAGGTACAAGCTCTACAAAAATTTCATACGACTAGAATTTACAGTATATAAAGAAAATCAAAATGCCACTAGAGAGGCATCACTTTATCACATTATTCAAGGTCCTAGCTCAATGAAACATAAATGCCCTTCATCCAAAAGATGGCTTTCCACTGGGCCTTCACATGATGGCTTTTCTAGGGTCCCACTTCCATTTCTTTTCAGTTGAGAACCTCCCCTACAGCTAAAGTAGGATCATAACTCATGGGCACTGCCAGAAGGTCCAAGTGGAGAAATAATTCCAAAGATCTTTACACCTTCGTCCATTGGCACCACCAGCAGGGTACACTGGGGAATTAATTCCAAAGATCTTTCCAGTAGAGAACTATTCAAGTGCCAAATAAATCCTTACCCTCAAACGACAGCCATCAAAGTTATAGCCATCTCGACCCCTGATTGCATCTTCAGCATCTCGAACACTCTCAAACTACATAAGAGATGAGCAAAACATTATTGAACAACATAGGCAAAAGTTTTTTAATTTTGACACTAGATGTAATAAAGCATAAAAATTGTCAGAAGAGAAAATACCTCCACAAAACAGTATCCAGGAGGACGAGGAGGGATTTTCAGCTCAATATCCAAAATTCGACCATACTGCAGCAAATGAAAAACAAATTTTACACGATTCAATATTCTAAGATATTTAAAATATTTACCTAACTACAAAAAAGAATTGCCAAACCCACCAACTCTCAGCCTGCAATATAGATTAAATTATCTTCTAGAGTATTTTGTTGTGTGCATTATAAAAAGGTTTAGTATAAAACTATTCCAAATAATCCAATTAGCTATTTTGAATACTCAACAAAGGCAAAAACTTATCTAGTTGAAGTCTAATTAACTGATTTTTTTAGGGGGGGAGGGAATAAATATTTGTAGTCCGCATTCTCTTTTTATCAACAGAAAGGAGCTATTGATGAAGAGCATACCTACATCCTGAGCAAGAAAATGGAAATATTTCATCATTAGATTTAGTAATCGATTACAGTGCATCAAAATGAAGAATTTCTAGAGACTCCTGGTGTGGATATGCTGGTGGTATTGTAGAACTTTGCCTTATGATCTTACAAACCAAAAGAAACTAACAAGGCAGACATCCTCCAATATTCATAATCAAAGGCTACTGGTGGAACATGCCTTCATCCTCCATTAGATTCCAATCTCTGCTGCATAATGATAGGAAGTACTTTTTTTCTTTTTCTTTTTTTTTTGTTATCAGCAACTGCTATTTCTATTTTTGTTAACTCCCAACATGAAACCCAATAAAAGCCTCATCCTTATTCTTACTTTCCTGCGTATTACTGAAATATTTCTCTTTCCTCTTGATTGGTTGCACCTTGCACATGCAAAGCCCAAGTCTAAACAACATTTCTAGAAACTAATGAGCTATCACATTGGTTCATCCTCAAATCATTTCACTCATGGAAATCTATATACAACCAATAGCATAGTTGTCAAGGTGACACCTAGGCAACAAGGTGCTCATGGAGGGTCGCCTTGTTTAATATCGCCAAGCAAATTTGTACATGATGAACTACTTTTATATTCTTAATTTTTTGAAAATATACTAATAAAATAGGCATTATTAAACTAAAATATTAATTTTGTGGGTTTATATACCAATTTCTTTGTACTGTTTTCTTATTTGTTAGGGTTCAATCAACACATATGTTGGCATATGCTGTCTTGAACCCTTAAAGACTTAAAAACTTGAACCAATAGCTAGGAAGAACTTAAAAGTTTGTCTAATAAACACATTCTTCTTCTTCTTCCACCTTTTCTTTTCTTCTTTTCCTAAGAGAAAGACAGGGGCCCAGCCCATATATTCTGAATTTTCTTTTCTCTGTTCTTTTTTCTTCTCACTAGTATGCGGATTTTCTATATTTGAATATGCAGTTTATAATTTTTTATGAAAATTATAGATCATTATTAATGAATGATGGTTGCTAGTCACTAATGGAACCTACAGAACTACCCTAGGATTCATGATTTTTATTTTTAAAAGAAAATTGCCCAGGCGCCCCCTCCCGGTCACCTAACTTCACCTTGGTGCCTTGAAAATTATGACCAACAGGCTAACATCTAATGGTCACCCATTGTTAGAAAATATCCTAGCAAATTGCTCTCCTCCTATATGGACCATAGAATCATAGATTTACACAAATCCACATGATCTTTCCTCCTTTTTCAAGTGGAGAAAACATCTGCTGAAGTGCTAAAATAAGCATTGTATTTATTATGGCTGCAATTCCAAATCCCTAAAACATAAGAACAAGAAACGAAGAGATGGATCATTATCAAGAAAATCTATCCCTCCCTCCCTTGAGGTCCTCTCCCATTATATACCAACAACACAGTGTTTTAAAAGCGCAAGGCGCAAAAAAAGCGCAAGGGCCAATTTGTGCCTGAGGCGCAAGACGGCGCACGCCTTTTTAAGAAAGGCGCAAAATTATTAAAAAAAAAGCTAAAAAATAAAAAAAGTCAAAAATTCAAAAAAAAATGCAAAAAAAGTTAAAAATATTAAAACATAATGTTAATAAAAATATAAACTTAAATTTTAAAATAAATGATTTAAAARRYCTATTATCTAAAATTAAAATACATAAACATAACATGTAAAGTGTATTCAAATGAAAATTTAAAAATAAAAGCAAGCATATAAAGCATTTTCAAGCATGTAAAACCCATAATCTCTTTTCTCCTTAATTGCATTGCTTCAAGTAGTTAATGTGATGTAAAACATATTGCATTCTTGATTCTATGAGTCGCCTTTGTAGCAAGTCCCTCGAGGCAAGCCCGAACAAGTCCATGTTAGGGTCCGAAAGTCTTATTTCTCACATAAAAAATAATGATTTTACAACTTTCGTTGCTTTTTAAGAAGATATTTTATTGCAATGAATGAATGAACAACATAAGCAAATAGGGGGATCTCGGAGCCCAGCCGTTAGACTCAAAAATGAGCAAAAAGCGCAAAATTTTAAAAAGGCGCATGCCTGGGCTGAGGCGCAAGGCGCATCAGGCACACACCTAGGCGCACCAGGCGCGCGCCTTTTGAAAGAGGTGCGCCTGTGCACCTAGGCGTGCCTTTTAAATCACTGCAACAACATATTAGCACCAGAGCTTACAAATCTGTTTTTTCCCAAGAAACTTGCACATTGATTTTTCATTTTTATCTCTTTCCCTATAATGCCTTTTAAATCACTGCAACAACATATTAGCACCAGAGCTTACAAATCTGTTTTTTTCCCAAGAAACTCGCACATTGATTTTTCATTTTTATCTCTTTCCCTATAATCCCTTTAATAGGTAAAATTTGAAGTATGTAAACATAACCTCAAGAATACTCTCAATTGGCTTTGCCAACGTAACTCTTATCCTCTCTTCCATCACTAATATTGGGTATTTTCCCATATTTACTTCTTATGAAGGATCACAACCCAATCTTGGGCCTGCCCATCCAAGGCCTTGGCCTCTTGGGAGGGTGGACTGAATATGACCTATCCATTGGCTTTTTTTTTGTGCAAAACTATTGCTCCCAGATTTGAACAAAGCAACAGCCCTTCATTTTTAGATAGAATAGAAAACTTATGGAATCCCCTCAAGCATCAATCTTAGCTAAAGGATCAACAAAATCATTTGGTAAGTGAAAGATGCAAGTGTGCAAAGTTATTTGTATCACATCCATGAAAAATAACTTGCTCAAGTTGTGTGACTTGTGTCCAGATCACATAATTTGGGTTTGGGGCACGTTGTCAGGCAGTCGAGTGCTCTTTTTAATGGCATCAAAACCAAGCCAAATGGGTAAGCTTTAAATCCTTAAATTCAGGCCATGCAAGGTGAACTTGAGATTATGTTTTCTCTTTCTGCAGTGTTCCAATACATTGTCTAGAACCATTTTATTCATCTCAATAAAAATTTCAATTTATTGATCAAAATAATAAAAAAATTTTGATTAATTGGGTTGATAAAAAGTGAGTGCACTTGTTGGGTTGGTCTTCTTTTAGTGAATGAAATCCACCATCCAAATATTTAAGTAATTTTAGCACAAAGATCACACATGTTTACACCCGAATCAATTAATATTTTCTATTTTGTTTGATTTCTTAAGTGAATACCCCATCAACAGTCCGAACTCTAGAATGTGGTTTCTGTCTGTGAAACAGAGAAGTGTTGACCAGATAAGAAGTAGGTTTATAAGGTGGTTAACTGGTTTCAACATAAAGATGATGACTTGTGTCTCATTGCCATGATGAATTGCAAGTTGTGGATAAGGCTGTCACTAAAAGATCTGCATGTTCATTTGCAGATTACTCACAGATCTGGAATCATCAAATGCAAAATAACACCAAATCCATAGCAAAAAGGAAAATGAGAAAATTTATCAAGAATCACAAATAATGTGCCAAATACAAAATTGTAAACAAATCCATGCCAGTCATGGTATATGTCAATACCAACTCAGTACCATTAATTGAATGCCATGCAGAGGTGACAAAAATGCATAAATAGTAATCCTTCAAGCAACATTGAAAGAAATAGCCAACCAAACCTTATAGAATAGATCTTCAATTTCCCACTCTCGAATATCTGAGGGCAGGTTGCCAACATAGATTGTGCGAGCTGAACGACCACTCATTCCTAATAATATAGAAACTTCAATAAACAACCTTTGCTGCACAGACAAAAAGGCACATCATAATAAAGATGACTATACTCTCATCCAAAATCAAATCATTCCAGCCAATGATATTAAACTATTTCTGAGCACCATGAAACTGTTTTACGAGAACATAATCAAAGCAAAACCAAAACCATGAAGCAAACCAAGAGAGCAATCCTCGATGTGAATGGTGCTCCACAAGCTCCATTGCTCATATGCTCCAAGATGCTCCACAGCTATAATAAATTTGAAATAAATTTTTTATCTCCTCATCCTCTCTGATTTATGCAGAGGCGCAGATGATATCGTGAGCATGAGATCAAAATACACAAAACTCCACCCTGATTTCTCCCACTCCCTCTCTACACCCCTATGTATGGTTGCAAAGCTCCTATTTGTTCCAGCGCCTTTCATCTATCATAAAGAAAGTGTCCGTGTTATTACACACAATAAGGCTGGCAAAAGAGATGCGCATTTACCTTAATCAGCTTTCTTTACAACTGCAAGAAAAGAACCTGGAGAAATATGCAATATATACTCTCAGTATCCCGCTTTTCTCTGTATATTAGCAATAACTCACAGCCTTCTAGGAGATTAGTTAAGGAGGAAAAGGGCAAGGCCCTCCACAAAACTTCCATTTTGCTTCATTTAAGAGTATGAATGAAATTGTTCCTAAATTAAACATAAGCGAAGAGCCATAAGGCAAAAAAAAACCGTTTACTAAATAACAAATTCTGTTTTTCTAGGTTTTACTTGTAAAAAGTAAAGGAAAAATAGAAACTCCAAGAAGTTCCAATCCTGGAACTTGTTTTTTCCTAATGCTTTATTTCTCGTCTTTCAGTTGTTGAAGTCGAAGTCTTCGCTTGTTCTATGTAGTCAACTAGTCACTGTTTGATGGGTACGAGCTAATCCTTCCAATTGAATGCTAAACACAACAATTCATATCAACGTTGGCTCGCTAACAACATTCAAATAAGATTTCGTCATACAGAGTCAAGTTGCGATTCAATGAACTACACTTCTCTCAATAAATCTATAAGAACACAACAATTACCGTCTATTTTAGTAACCCTTTAACGAATCGATGATTTTGAGTGAGACGATAAAGAGTCGTATAAGAAAGTATTACAAAATATAATCCCCGAAGCATCCGTACAAGGAGGATGGGAAAGAAATAATCACTCGAATGATCGAATCTTTAAAAGATAACGCCCCCCAGACCAACTAGCAACAAATGAACGAAAAATAATGTTTAAAATTTAATTAAAAAAGGGAAAAAAAAACTAGGAAGAGAAAACGGAACATCATACCAAGATCAAGAGTATGAATGCCCTGCCGCTGTCGATCAATTATTTCCTTTCCTTCACCGACAGAAATCTGCGCAAACAGTAACTCGAGCAAATAGTGACGGAAGTTAGGGTTTCTTGAGGGAACAGCTTCAGAGAAAAGTGTTGGAACAGAGACAAATCGCATACGAAAGATACAAAACCCTCAAAGTCCAACCGGGACCAAAAGATCCAAATAGCTGAATGGCAAGTCGGGTGGCTAATTGGGAGACGGGATCTCCTGAAAGCAAGATCTCTGCGAACACTTTGGCACGAACATCCTGCCACAATTTGAGAACATCTCCACGTGAATTTGACAACTTGTACGGAAGATATTTCCGATGTGCGGCTAGATGGCATGTGCGCAGAGTCGAAGAGATTTTCCGTTCCAGCTCTTAAAGCCCGTTTGAGAGGGTTTCGGTTTTGATTGAGCTTTTCAATGAAGCCGCTTCAAAACTCAAAAGTTATGAAAGCTGCTTTAATCCCCGGCTCCCCGCCAAAACGCAGCTTTGATAGTTCACGGTTCAGTAACCGAACCAGTTTGTGGAAAACTGATAATAAAAGCCGAATTGAAGTAAATCGGTTAATCGGTTGATCAGTTTGGTTAACTATTGGTTGTTAATTTTTTGGTTTTTTTGATATTTATAAATATATATATAAATAAATATAGGATAAATTTCTTAAACTACCATTATAATTTAATTAATTGACTAAATGTACCCTTGTTATTTTAAATTTGACTGAGATCATATTGTTTCTAACCATTGTCTAAATCTTCCCTCACCATTCATGTCCGGTCATAAACCATTCAAATGTGCCATCACATGACTGTTATAACTTTAAAAATTCCCAACATTACCCTTTTTATGTTCAAAAATGCCCTTTCAAAAATCCCATCATGTAACCCTTCAAGTCTACCTTAAAGTAACCTCATATGATTGACCCACTCACTTGTATCAGCTCGAGGAGGAGAAGGGGAGGGACCGGCACCGGCACTAGCACCGCGGTCTGCATCGACGTATTTGCATGGGAGAAGCACGAGAGGTACTACTCAGGTTTGAAGACTCTCGCATGGCAACTGTGCACATCTGAGTTCATATCAGCATAAACTCATATATATATGTGACACATGTTCATAGAAATGCCTGACTACACAGTCGCATGCCCCATTTGGCCCTTGCACATGCCCACCCTGCACGCCCCTGCGCATGACTTCCCCGCTCGACCTTTGCATACTCCCACCTCGCATGTAAAAGCGAAAGAACCCCCTGCAAAAGCGACCAAAATTTGTGTACATGGATTAGTATACAAAACCCTCGCCGCTTTGATTAGGGTTTATTAATGCTAAAGAAACCAAAAAAACGAGTGATCAATATACAAAACCCTCACCATTTTGATTAGGGTTTATCATCAGACCTCCGTCGTTCGGTAGTTGTCACTGGCGATGGCGCTCCATCCCTCTTTCGAGCGACATGTTCAGCTGATGGGTCGAGTATTTGAGTTACGTTAGAGTTAAGTTAAAATGAGGGATACAAGTGTAACTTCACAGATCAGCCGAGTGTTTGAGCTAAAAGGTAAAATGAACATTTGACTTTTTCCATCCATGCTTAACGAACCTTGGAAAATTTAGACAATAGTCAGAAATAGTAGGGGTAGCGTCAGTCGATTTTCAAACAGTAAGGGTACACTTGATCAATTAGCTAAACCATAAGAAATTTTAGCAATGCATATAAAATATTATATTATAAATAATAAATAATATATTATATATTATAAATATGACAATTTTCTTAAAGTACCCCTAAGTTTTCAGACAATTACCAACTAAGGGCTAACTTGGTGTGTTAATTGGTTTGTTCTAGTATTGATGCGGATGTCGAATCCACAACCAGCACTTTGGGGGAAAAGAGGGTCAATGGGAATTTTTTAATGGTGCATGGCACCAAATACCAAAAACAAGTTTTATGACAATTGCCATAGTCATTAAATATTAATTAGAAAAAGCAAAATGTCAAATTTTCCTTCCATTATTTCTAAAATTTTCAAAATAAAATCCAAGTGATTTTTTTCATTGAAACTGGTTTGATGGTGTTGTCGTATCTATTGAAGCATGGACCACCACCAAATTAGAATCATCCCTCCATCAACTGTTCCCCCAAAGCTCTTACTTCAACATGGCTTGAGACTCTGACTTTCATCATCCGAACTAAGCTTGTAAATGGAGTAAATTCGAATCAAATCAGGCTATATTCAAATTCGAATTTGATTAAATATCAATCGAATATTCAAAACTACCAACTGAATTCAAAATCAATTAAAATATTAAATATTCAATTAGATTCAAATTCGACCAATTCCTTTCCTTCAAAACCCTAACGTAGATATATGCATTGAGAGAAAAGGAAGAAGCACCTATGATGTTGATATTGTTCATGGCTTCATGCCATATGTCCTCCATAAATAAAACTAACAAGCAGCAAGACATGGAACAAGAGAAAAAAGAAAACGAAAACAATTATTGTTGGGGTGATGCTAGAGACGCTAGAACGGATCACTTGTTGTTCCTCAAAGTATGGATGCATCACTATTGTTTGGGTATGGATGAATCACCTATCATTCTTAAAAAATTGTAGAAAATGTTAAACATTGATGGTTGCAACTCGGCAGATCTAGTGAATGGCAAGATCTATTTAAACATGTAAAAGTTGCAAAGAACATAAAAAACTAGAGAGAGAAAGAGTCGAGAACTTCAGATCCATACATGAGTATGGTGACATCATTGCAGCCTTTTAGCAAATATGTCACTTTTTTCTAATGGGCATTTGAGTTTAAATTAATATATATTAAATTTATATAATAATCGAATTGGATCAACAAGAATTTGAATTCGATAAATTAGCCGACATGATATAAAATTTGTATTCAACCATTAAGTTTATAGAACCATCTGAATTCGATTCGATTATATCAAATGTCAAATTCGAAATCAAATAGTTTGATATCATTTACACTCATATGCTGATAGCATGAAGAGGAAGTCTTTGTTTTGTGAGTATTGAAATAGAAAAAAAAAACAATGGCAAATTTCTTAAAATACTCCTAAGGTTTAGCTAATTGACTAACTCTACCCCTACTGTTTGATTATTGTCTTAAAGTATCCTTACTGTTTTTGACAATTGACTAGCTCTACCCCTATCGTTAACGTTTGTTAATGTTCCGTCAAAATCCGTACACACATGACACCTCGTGACGTATAAATATTTTCAAAACTCAATACTACCCTCAATCCCTCTTCTCTTCACTTCCCTTGTTCCTTTTATTCAACCTTTTCTTCTTTGACAGCAACACCACCAGCAAAAACAACAACAATGACACCACTACCGAAAGGAACTGAGGCAAGCTTCTCCCTACTAGAGGTTATGCAAAGAAGGGCAAAGCCAAAGAATCCAATTCCTGCCCAATATTCAAACGAAAATTTGCTTGAGGGTTTGAAGGAGACAAGAGATGTATTAGTTTCTATAATCAAATTTGCAAACGGTTTGGGTTGAGAATTTGTGGGTAATATTCAACAAAATTGCAATCCAAACTAGTCCCACTAGGTCAACATGCCATTGATCGAAAATTCAATGCCTGAAACTAAAAACCCTCTTAAAGGAGTTGTAGGTACATAGTGGTCACTAAGACTATCAAAGTACAGAGGGTGTCAAACCAACATTACACATATGCTTGCAATGAACTCGTAAACCATTGCACATTTGTGATGAACTCATACTCGAAATGGGTCGCAATAAACCTTAGACATGCATAAACCAACAATAAAGCTTAGACATGTATGAATTTGCGATGATCTATATGACGTGCGCGGATTTGCAATGAGCTTTAGACGTGTGCAAAATTGCAATGGACATGTGATCACTACAGAACTGTAGAATCACAAAAGATCGGGAATAAATACCAATTACATGTGTGTCTATAAATTATGCGTGTGATAAAGCGCCACATGGGTTTAATAAAAGCGCGCCCGTCGAACGATAACATCATGCACGACATGTAAATATAAAAGAATTACATACGGAGAGAATCCAAAATGAAAATGATTCTCTAATTATGCTCCCTTAATATTCAAAAAAAATGAAATATCTTCTTTCCGTAAAAAACTCTTTTTCTTTATAGCCTTGACTTCCTCTATATATATATAAAAGGGTAGAGACAACACAATAATAATTTTTGACATAGGATATTTCTCATGAGACTCCCCCTTCGTCTATTCCTCACGTCCTCTCTCTCTCCCGTCACCATCCCTGGACTTTCACCATTCCCCCATTGTCTAATCACCCCTAACCTACATTATAATCTCTGGTTCGATCTCCTATCTTCGGGAAAATATAACGCAGATATCATATCGTTACGTATAAGCTCCATCATGATCCATTCGTCGAGTGAGACTCTAAGACGATTCAAGGCAAGTTTTGATGGAGAACTGGAGATTTATGAGACCCTGTTCCAGTCTCCAGATTTGAGTCTTTTGATTCTCAAAAACTAAAACGACATCGCCAATAATCCTCTTGGTGACGGACGACCAATTCTATTGTAGAATCACAGGATTTGATTTCAGCGCCACCGTCTCGAAGCTCCAAAACCCCTCCTCTTTCTTGTTGGCGGCCTCTTTCCATGCCCTTGGATTGTGATCGCCAAGTATTAGATCCCCAACATGTTACTTTCCTTGTGCGTGTGCAAGGTTAAGACGGGTTTGCATGGCAGCCAGATTTTCATCAAAAGCATACCTCGGAGAAGGATCCCAAAAGTGACTCACAAGGCAATAACTACTACGATGGCTCCAAGATCCAACCGACACCTTCGGGCGCAACAAGTTGAACTCAGATTCTGTCCATCGTCCCTAATCCCTCAAAGTTTATCCTTCGATCTTGCTACACAATCCTCGATGACCCCCTGTTTGTTTTCTCTCAATATCTTTCTCTCGTCAGCTGAACCAGGACTACAACAATTTCTCTCATTGACAAACCAAAGTTCGCAGCATTGACGTCATTTTAACAACTCAGGGGTCCATATTTC